TTTTTTATAAAGTTGATTTTTTTTTTCTTTTGTTTTTCTTTCAAGTTTTCACTAATTTTTTTATTTATTTATTTAAAAAATGTTTTAAGATTTTTTAAAAATATTTTAAAAAATATGTTTTTGTTTTTTTTTTACCATTTTTCTTTAAAGAATTCTTTCCAAGTTTTTGTTTCTTTTTGGAAAATTTTAAGAAATTACTTTTTAGCATTTTCATTCTTTTTTTTTTTTTTGTTGTGCTAAAGATTTGTCGTTTTTCTTTTTTACTTTATTTATTTGTTTATTTTTTTTTTTTGCGCGGTGACCTTAACGTTATCATTTTCTCCTCTTCTTTATACATTAAAATAAAAAAGATTTTTTATAAATTTCATTTGTTTGTTTTTTTTTTTTGTTTTTATCGGGACTAACTTAATTTAAATTTCTTTTTATGTATATAAGATGTTTTGTTTTTTTTTTTTAATTTTCATTTTTATTAAATTATTTTACAAAAGTAATTAATTATTGTTTTAATTAATATATTATATAAATTATTATAATTAATATGTTTTTATGTTAAAAACAAAATTAAGCACAAGAAATGTCTTTTGTTGGTTGATTGTTGGCTAAAGTTAAAGTAAGATTTTTTTATATAAATTTTTTTTTATATATAACTCTTTTAAAATAAAATAAGATAGTTTAAATTAATTACAAAAATTTAAAAAAAAAAAAACGTCTAAAAATTGTGCAATCGTCCGTTTTTTTTTTTTCTCTTTAAATTAATATAAACAAAATACTGTTTGCAGTATTTTTTGTTGTTGTTGTTATTTTTCCCTCTTTCTAGATAACTCTAAGCATTTACGTTTGTATGCTACGGGTTTGTCAAAATTTTTATCTCGAATATCTGCTTTTTTGTTTTTGTTTTGTTACTATTTATTTTTCAAGTCATAATACTACACAAAGAATCTAAATCAAAACCAATGTACAACACATTTGCTGAATATTTTTTTTTTTTTTGCTTTTTTTTGCTGCTTTTGCTGCTTCTTTGCACATTTTTTCGTTTTTGAATATTTTTAAAATAATTTTTAGGAATATTCTTTTGCCATTGTTGCTGTTGCTGTTGTTGTTGTTACTGTTCTTGTTGTTACTACAATCTACATTCAAATATTGTCAAATCATTATTAATTATATATTATTTTATATAATTTTTTTTTTTTTTCTTTGTTCATTTATTATTTTTCTAAAGCCTGTGTGTGTATATGTATATATCAAGAGTTTTTTTCAATGGAATACTTGAGATCATCGTATTCCATTAAAGTGTTTCATCTCTTTATCCTCGCTGCTCGTATGTGTCAGTGTAGTGTCTCTTTAACTAATCATTAAAAATAATACATTCAGTAGTTTTTCCTTTTTTTTTTTTTTGTTTACAACATAATTAAATTAATAAAAGTTTGTTTTTGTTTTAATTTTCCTTCATTTTTATACAAAAAGAAAAGGAAAAAAGTGTAACGAAAAGTTAATTGAATTTATAAAAAAAATAATAGTGAAAATCAATAGAGTGAATAATAAAGGTTAACAAAAACAAAAAAAAAAAAAATAAACGGTAATGGAAGGAGAATGATAATAAGGTAGATATAGATGATGGATATGATAATCAATCAAAATTGATAAACAAAAAAAAGTTTATAATCTACATGCATTAAGTTAATAATTTAGTAATTTTTTTTTTTTCTAAAATTACTTAGCAATTTTTGCTACTGTTGTTGTTGTTGTTGTTGTTGTTGTTGTTGTTGTTGCTGTCTGTTTATATATCAATCTTTGTTAATTAATACAATGTCTTGTAAATGTTTGCTTCTCTTTCTTATCTAAAAACAACAACAGCAACAACAACAGAAACACCACAACGAGAAAACTGAAGAAAGATAAAGAAAGAGAAGCAAACATTTACAAGACATTGTATTAGGTTCACTCAATTATACACATCCCCTTTTATATCAGCATCATTCTCCTTCTCAATCATGCCTTCGTTGGTGGCGTTATTCCAAGCACCATTCATGCATTTTGACGAGGAGAAGCACAATTTCATAATAAACGGAAATTTGGTACCTAAAAAAAAGAACAAGCAGATATTTCAACCGATTAAAATTCATCTTAGAGCCCATCGTGAAAAACATTGCGTCTCTTTATGCTAAAACTTTATGGAAAAGGATGAGCAGCCGCCACTGCCCCAATAATGATGATGCAGTTTTCACATAAGTCTTCCATACAAATGTAACAAATTTTGGCATGGAATCTTGTGAATTTGATTTTCATTATGCTTTTATAATAGAATTTATCAGAAAACGAGATTGCCGGCCGATTTCTGTACGCCTTATCTTGCAAAATTCAGATTCGCAGAAAAGCGGATAGAATATCATGGTGCATTTTTGATCAAAAAAATCTTTTCAATCATTTGCTGATTATAATCAATTCAAGATTCAAGATTCAAATTCAGAGATTCAACTCCTTTTTAGATATTTAATGGATTAGCAACAAGCTACGCAATTCCGTGGGAAATGCAGAGAAGAAAGCACATAAAAATTTGTATAGTTGTCTCGCGCCTGCAATAAGACTCATATACTGTTATCGAGCAGCTTACATTTTAGAGTCAAGTCGACCAACTCACAAATTGAACGAAATTTTCTCTCAGTCATCTATGATAGTCAACAGGCGATGATCATTATTATAGGGAGTTCGAAACGGTAATTATTGCTAATCTCCTCAATTAATTTTTAAGAAAACATTATGCCGTTCGCCAGATGTCACGTCTCTTGTAGATCTCATAAAAAATGGGCCTTTTTCAGTAAATAATTCGATTGAGTTCTCTCAGTTTTCGAATCGAAAAATACATTTTAGCTTACACGAAACGGACCGTTAAAGGAAATTGGAACTGAAGCAAGAGTAGATCAAAAAGCTTAAGCGTTTCATCGCTTCTACATGGAATGTATCGTAATTGCTTATATATTTAGTAACTAACACACATACACTAAATTCATTACTAATCAGTTTGGGCTGCCAAAGCCTTCATGAAATTATCCTTTAAGTTTATATTTCCGAATCCCTTTAACTTTATTTGTCTGTACCGACATGTTCAGAAGAGTAATGATATTGACCGCAATCTCTCTCTTGCTTAATTTATTACCATTCGTCCCCTTTTAGACCAACAATTACGTTATTTGGCGATGTTAAACAAATAATCTATGAAAGATGATTAAACAGAGTCGCATTCGTATGCGCAATTTTCTGTGTGTGCTTAATAATGCCGGCAATCTATCAGGCACGTTATTAGCATCGGAAATTGGTTACAAGTTATCGGCATTATTTTTGATCGACATTAGCATTAGGTAGCCTATAACTTCCCCAATAGTCCAATCCTTATCAAATTAACCTGACATGTGATTTTAGCGACAGCAATTGTGCCTCATTGATTGGTGGCACACACACCGCCACACACACTAAACTTGTGTGACAATTAATCTTGGGGGCATGGAATTGCAAGTGCTCGCCGACATGGGCGTATGATTGTTTAGCAAGAGATCTGACATCAAACAATGCCTATAGAAAAGCGAAGACATTAAATTGGTTGCG